GCATATTGTAGGGGCTCATGCAAGGACCTGAAAAGTGTGCTTCATTTTCGCTGCGCGCTTCCAGGAAAGGTAAAAAACGAGTGAAAAGAAATCTTTGGAATCTGCTTCGTTCCTGGGCCTCTAATAACGGTCGTAGGCCAACTTGGCAACTTTGACCAGGGCTGGCGTGAGTGGGGGGTCGCTTGTAACAGGGGTCGTGTGGGTTGAATCGAAGCGAAAAATTGCCTTAACTGAGCTTCCAACTTGGGTCATGTGCTCAAGGGTGAACGGCTTCTTGCAATGGTTTCATCAACGATAAGAGCGCTAGAGTCGAGCATCGGATGGCCTAGCGGATAGAGTGGAGGTTTCGCAATCGGACAGTGAGGGTGGGGTTGATGGTTCGGCTCCCCTTGCGTTGCGGCTTTTTGCATTTTTTAGATTTCGCTGTTCTCGCTTCCATTTGTGTCTGCGCATGAATATAACTCGGATATTTGCATTTATGGGCACATTCTGAGTAGCTATACCTCATGAGTCAGTGCTATTAAATTATTTCGATTTTCACGCACCATTGAACAAGATTGTTGCTGGACGTTGTTCCTCATAGGCTATACAGTGGATCTGATTGCGAATTTAGCAACTTCTGTGTTGTCAATTATAGACAATTTGGGGCCACATCTTCTTTCCACTGAATTCGTTATGTACACCAATATAGGGAACGTTCAGCGCTATTCTGTCGCCAAATTGCGTGGACGCCAAGAATAGGTGTTATATTTGTGATCAGGGCCACTGATTACCACTAAAAACGAATTTTCGGTCAAAACAATTGTTTTGACCTTCTTGGGTTTGCTTATTGGGTTGTCCGGGGTCCGTAGCGTCAACGATACGTCATCGCTGTTACGAAGATGTGAGACTCTGCTCACACTGCCGACCAAGTGGATCGGTCACCTACAACCGAAAAAGTCAAAAAAAAATATTTTCGCGCACTCAAACTTGCTCCTAGGGGTAATCGACAGTCCTGATCACGATTCTAGACTTTATTTTCGGTTCCAGTGCCATCTGGCACCGGCATAGCGCCGAAGAGCTGAGTCTGTGCATACTAACGAATTCGAACGAAAAAGCAGTTTTGCTCCATAAAAGTAGGATTGTTCAGTTTATCGTGAATGTTTTTGTTAGGACCAATTATTTAGACAAACATGGATCCAAAAAATGAAAAATTGTAGAAAAGCAAAATTTTGTCCTCGGTGGGATCCGAACCATCGACCTATTTTTTACGTTTTTTTTATTCGTAGAAGCGCGCAGCGAAAATGAACCTCAGTTTTCTGGTCCTCGTATGTGCCCTACAATATGCACAAGACCATTTTTGAAAAAGCTCACCACGCCCTGAACGACCTCCCTTGAGGAGGAGCGACAGTTCAGGCCACTCATTCCCGGTCATAGCCTAAAACAACACAAGCTCTTTCCAGATAATTTAGTGTCATTCAGGTGGACGCTCAACGATGACTGCAGTGGGCGCTCCTGCAGGAGGACCAGGATCTACAATGACTGCAGTTGGTGGTGTTGGTCCAGGATCAACGATGACTGCCGTTGGCGCTCCAGCCGGGGGACCAGGATCTACAATGACTGCAGTGGGCGCCCAGACAGCGAGGACCCAGATCTACATGACTGCTGGGGCGCCCCAGCAGGAGGACCAGGATCTACAATGACTGCAGTGGGCGCCCCAGCAGGAGGACCAGGATCAACGATGACTGCTGTAGGAGCTCCAGGAGGTTTGTTACAACATAAACATGCGAAAGGAAAAGGCAGAAATAATATGCTCCATTGCAGGGCGTTCAACTATGACAGCTATTGGAGGTGCTGGTGGTGCTCCTAGTATGGCACCAATTGTCCAGCTGGTGACGAACGGATGGTGCGGTGGTGGTGAGCGGTGGCCCCTACCCGGACAAATCTGTTACCTTCGGAGTACTGGAGGCGGTGGCAGACCAGCTAGCCATAGTACTTATTGGTGTTGGCAGGGTGGAACGGCGCATTGGTGTTCCTCGCTCCGAAATGCGCCAGGTGGTGGCGGCGGTGGTGGTCTCGCTGGACAATCGGCATATTTCGGCGTCGGCGCTGGTGGTGCAGGCGCTCCTGGTGCTCAGTCGGCTTACTTCGCACCCAAGTAACTTGTCCAACTCGAATAAACCACTCTAAACTCTGTTATACCGCGGTGGTTTGTCAACGAGAACAGTGAAACACCGGTATAAAAAATTTCTGTAATTTTCACTGGTGACATCGCATTCCAATGTTTTTCTGCCTTCCTCAGCTGATTCCCACACACACTAACAGAATTTCTTCACCAGCTAAAGCAGTACGCGATTAACAACAACAAAGAGTACTTTTTCGAAAATTGAAGAGTGTAGCGCTAAGCATTCGATACCTCACAAGGTTACAATGGACCTGCAATTGTCGCAGCTCATCTGCAAAGGTTGAATTGATAGCGCGTATAAGGATGTCTAGTACAGACACATCTCTACCAACAGAATGATCAAACTTACTCGAACGAGTTTCTAGGCAAGACGAGACCTGAGTGAGCACATTTTGGCCAGGAACATACATATAACAAGCAGCTTCACGTCTACCGAATTTGCTCAACACACTAGTTACACTCTACATATTCCATGAACTGAATGTAAGCAACATACCAATTCTTGCCATGTGGCATAAAGCAAATGGTTAAGCCACTTGGAATTTTTGCAAAATTCTGGAGCGGTGACAGTGAAGCACCATGTCAAGAGTCAGCGTCGCGGAAAACTGGAGATTTTGAAGACCCCCCCCTCTGCGCAGTGTTTGGGAGTCCGCTGTGTCCTTCAGAACTTAGCTGTATATGCTGTGGATTATGCGAATACCAATCAATCGAACAAAAGTACTGGAATTTGGAGCGGTTCTTTTTCAAGAAAACGTAGAATAGATCACTGAAAATGGAACTTCAAAAAACCTTACAATGATGCCCTAGAAACTGAACAACACGAAGACGGGGCATTGAGCTTCTGCGGCTGCGCACGTATTGAGATTAGAGCGCTATTGGCCCTTTTCAGCGTCGCATTTTGAAGGGTTTTCAGTTTTCAGTTTTTGGAAGGGTATAACCTTTATTCAAACCATGCTTTCACAGAGCTGTAAGGACGATTCAGGTTGGCTCTGTGCGAAATACACTACAGGTTTTATCAAGCTTGCATGGTGGCTACTGGCCACAAAATAACGCGGAGAATTCTGGGCGACCACGAAATCATCACTTTTCAATAAGAATAGCTTTGGTTTCCTCCGACAATAACGCCAAGATATGATCTCCGGTACATGGTATTCGCGAACCTAGAAGTTTCCTCTTTTGAATGGGCACAAGCTTTGCTGTAGCTTCGATTATACGCCAAAAACTTTCCGCGGCCAATCACCACCGCCTCGCGCGACTATGCCAATTTGATAAGTCATTAAAATTCAGCTGCTCATAGGAATGTCTCGCCTGCAAAGCCCAAGTTCAATGTAGAGGCGAAGACTACGATAGGTTTCCCCTCACGCCGCTCTACACTCAAATAGCGTGTAAGTAGAAATTCGCATACCGACTTACGGACGCAGACCGTTAGCGTCAAACCACTGGCCACAATGGAATCATGCGCCCATGTACCCTCCGTCTTCCTTTTCCGAACCGCCCATAACACCTACAACAGCAACAGTCGATGCTCTGCGTCCCCGCTGTACTGATTCTCATGCAAATACGACCTCCACCTCTATAAGTGCGCGCCGGACACGACACCCCGTCGTGCCGCGGACTGTGCGCCACGTATGCTCAACCCGGTGAACCCTTTAGCCACCACTCAATTATGCAAACCAATGTTCCTCGTGATTTGGGTGTGCCGAATTGCGGGTGTGCCTACTAGCAGAATGTCTCATGAGATTGGCATGGGCAGTTTCACGAGGAAAACGCAACCGTAGCCGGAAATTACAGACTGAACTTGGGTTGATTGTGATACACAAGCCCTGCGGTTACTTTACCGTAACTGACATATAGCCGGTCGATTCGTGTCCAATCTTCTGACCATGAGCATAGTCGTCAAAAATTTCATTCAATTTAAGTCTATTGCATTCTAAGCAGCTTTGGCGCCGGAAATGTCGATAAGGTCGATTAGGCTACGTTCATACTTTGCGGCAGCGTACGCTAGCGTTTTCAGCGTGCGACAGCAGCAGTGACAAGGGAAGGATAGATTCATTTATTCATTCTGTAGACTTGTTCAAGAACATGTGGGTAGAAGGATAGATTCATTTATTCATTCTGTAGACTTGTTCAAGAACATGTGGGTAGAAATTAGGAGAACTACATTCTGATGAAGCTAGAGACAAAAAATCAAACAAGCACATCAATACTTTTCTCAAAGGTTCATATTTCTGCGGAAAAATATTCGCTCGGAAAAGAATATTAAAACCTGAGCAATCTGATCGCCTCTTGTGTTGGACGGTGACATAGAAAAGAAGCCCTCTACTTTTATTTTTACCTAATCTTTCAAATTTCTGAACACCATCAGTAGGTCATATCTCTTCCTTCTCCATTCGAAGGTTTGTAGTCCATATTCGGGGTTCCTTACTGACCCTCGCGAAATATTAAGCATCTAAGCATTAGTTTGCGAGCGGAATTGTTCTGTACTCTCGAGTGCACGGATATCCTTCACATATAGCTTATATGAACGAACTAAAATGCTTGGATCTCTAGTCCGTAAAGATTTAAATGAGTTATAAGTTCTTCTAGTAGCCATCAGTAACTTGCAATTCTTGCTGAAACTTAGATTGTAATCATAATGGAAATCAAGATCACGAACTCACTTTACGGAACCAAGCCTGTCATTCTCCACGTAATTAACGGATTCACAGACTTGTAAACCTATACGCATGACCTGTGTTTTTTCCGCAGATAGAAGAAGACTATTAGCTTTAGACCATTCAACAATTTTATCAATCGCGTGTTGAAGAGAAGAGTCAGAATCAATGTCTTGAACAGTCTTGAATATTTTGATATCATCAGCATAAATATTGCAAGAAATGCCAAGATCACGAAGCTCATTGGGTAGGTCTGCAGTAAAAATTTTGAACAGAACAAGTGAAATCACACTCCCTTCGTGGAACACCACTGCATGCTGCGCGTACAGATGACAAAGTATCTCCAACCTGGACTTGAAATGTCCTCTTTTCAAGAGAATCCTGAATCTACATCACTACCAAAGGATGAATACCGTAGAAGATCAGCTTCTGTATCAGAACTTTATGTGATAGCTTATCAAAGGCTTTACTGAAATCGAAGTACACTATGTCGACGTTTTTCTTCGAATCTAGTGCTTTCGACCATTCATTCAGACTACATAATAGCGATGTTCAATCGATCTACCAGTGCGAAATCCGTGGTGTGAGCTAGAGAGAATATTGTATTGGTCTATGTGAGCTATCAAGTATTTTTTTGATACTTTTTCAAAGACCCTAGCAAAGATCGGAGTCAAGCTAACTGGCCTATAATTATTGGGACTAGAGTGCGGCTCCTTTTTGAGAAGAGGTATAACAATTGCATGTTTCCATCTACATGGTACTTCACTCCGCATGAGGCTTAAATTAAAGAGAAGATCTAGGGACCGCAAATCTCATAGATGCACTTTTTAACAACTATGAAAGGGATATCCACACCATTTACAGCAGAAGCAGATGACCACTTCAATAGGGTTTTGTTATGATATTGTAGTCTTTTTACTCTTGTTATCTCTTTATCTTCGTTCTTTATCACTCTCAGTTCCTAGGGACGTGAGCCGAATCAATCGATAGCGACTCGGACGCTCGGCCAATCGACGACTATAGTGAAGAAGAGTCAGTCTAACCCGAGTGTGAGCCAGGGCACATCGTTGGTTGGGGAATCCCCAACAGGGGGGTCGTATTTGGCCGCCAGGAGAGGGGGGGTCGTAGTGAGTGCGGCAGCCAGTAACGAGCAGCGCAAATTGTCAATGTGCTGAGTCCTGTACAGCGAAACTTGCTTTGTAGAGAACTCGGATATGCAAAAAAATAGTACAAAACTTTCATTCATCAAACTAATCCGAAATAACTGCAAATATTAATAAGTCGACATTATCTCGTAAGTCCGTTGGTGACTAAACAGTACAACTCAAACTCTGGTTCGCTGCCAATGATATGGCGTGTCCGCGGTCGCGCTTGGCGCTGAGCCAACCTGTTTTTTCTCGACAAGCGACAGGACTACCATATCGTTCGTATCAGACGTTTTCCAGCAGTTGGTCTCCTTTATCGGAGTCAGCAATTGGCGGAGCACGAATCTGGCAGCGTTCGACAGGG